GGATTCTGATTGGCTGTCAGTGTTTTTATCATTCATCAGCTGGAAACAAATTGCTCTGAAAGTGATTTCAACGATATTGTTTAGGTGCTGTATCTTCGGCGAAGTTTTGTCATTCTAAAATGAATTTATACAATCTCGTATTTCGCATTGGGGTGAAACACTTCCGCACACAGATTTCGCTCATTTTCAAATTGAGCAAGTCAAGATGAATTTACTGTACAAGTAAAATGACTTAAGATATTATGTCTTGTTTTCAGTAAAAAATATAAAAATTCTGTTAGAAAAAGCAAAAATATCTGCTAAGGGGGCAAGAAAAATAATCTTGTTTAGCCTTTGAATTAAGATGATTTTTCTTGCCCCATTGGCAGATATTTTTGCTTATTTTAACAATTTTTAATATTTTTTTAGAAAACAAGACTTAATATTTTAAATATTTTATTTTTGCGGCGTTTGTGTTGTGTGGACGTGTAGTTTTGATTGGTAAATCTTTATATTTATCGTTATGTTATCAGCACTGGTGTGAACGAGTCTTAAGACGCACTCGAGTTATTTCTGAGCTCTGGTATGATGTTGTTAAATGTTCTGCTGCCACAGTTTTAAATGTGTCGTTAGATTAATTCAGTAATAAATTATGTGTGTGTGTGAGAGGGAATTACATTTCAGCCAATTAACACGTTTTTGTCATTTGTCTCCAGATTCGTTCGTGGCTCTCAATGGTGAGTACAGCTCTTCTTCTCTCTCTCTCTCTCATCGTTATCTGACTCTGTGGGCGAATGTTTCATTTCTCTGACTGCGTTTTCTTGTAGAGCATCAGCGCAGGCAGCAGGGTGTGAGCGATATTACCCAGAATGCTGCATGCGGTCAGTGTCTCCAGTGTTTCCCGTGTGTAGATGTAGTTAGAGACGCTCTGACCTTTCATTCCCTAATTGGATGGATCTCTGCGCTTCATAGAGCAAAGGATTGTGGGTTAGAGACAGTCGAATGCAAATGACTGTTTACAGGGAATAAACACTCAGGGCTTCTCCCAAGACCAGCAGAAATTATTCATGAAATACAATCAGGTTAAAAAAACACACACAGACACACACATGATTGACAGCCCTCCCCCGGCAACCAGAGTGAATCTGATTGGCTGAAGCAGCCAGAGTGAATCTGATTGGCTGAAGCAGCCAGAGTGAATCTGATTGGCTGAAGCAGCCAGAGTGAATCTGATTGGCTGAAGCAGCAATTGTGACCTACATATCACATGCACTGGTGTTTATTGGTAATATTAGCCATCTTCTCCTGAGCTTCATTAGTTCTGTGTGTGAATGTGTTTGATGTTGTTTTCTCTCCGTTTCCTTCATAAACCGCTCGTACATGTGTCTGTTTAGCTTTATAAGCACAGATTCCTCCGTCTGGTGTCTCGTTGAGAGCTGGTTTTCTCTCGGCTTTCCTCTCGTATGTGTGTCATCGTCCTCACCGGCTCTTCCTCTGGCTGTGGAAAATGAATTATAAAATAGAGCTGTCACACTAATCTCGCGGCCCGTGGCGTTTCTTAAATAAATCATGTTAATGATTGCGGCTGGGAGACGATAAACAACGGCCACCGGCACAGAGAGAGTTTATCTGTGGATTAAACGTGAGTTAAACTAGTCCAGCGGTTCACACACTTCATCAGTCAAACCTCTCTTACCTAAAAGATTTTAGTTCATATTTCAAGAATTTAACAACATATTTGCATGTTCAAAATATGCCAGTTAATGGTCCAAATAAACCAAATATTGTATGTGTATGCCATTCACAGTGATGCCATAGAATAACCTTTTTGTCTAAATGCTTCCATAAAGAAGCTTTAACATCTGAAGAACCTTTCTGTTTCACAAAAGCTTCTTTGTGGCGAAAGAAGGTTCTTCAGATTATAAAAAGCTAAGAAAGAGATGGTTCTTTGACTGAAATGGTTCTTCTATGACATCGCTGTGAAGAACCTTTTAAGCACCTTTATTTTTAAGAGCGTAGTTCATTTTCAGGTGAGCTGGTCATACGCAAGTTTAACATAATGGAGTTTATTCTGTGATTATGAGCAGTTTACTGTAAATTACTCTGCTAATTATCAGCAAATGAATGAATCAGTGGAGGTGAAATACTGATTGGAGTGTGAGTGATGTGAGAGATGTGTGTGTTGTGTCTCAGAGAGATGTTGATGTGTGCTGTGCTCCAGCAGGCCTCCTCACCACCGTCCCTCCTCTGGCCCCCGGGGGCCCGCTGCTCCGGGGCCGCATGGTCAAGCCGAAGGAGGCCGTTCCCTCAGAGACGCAGCAGGAGAGCGCCGGTAAGCCTGGGAACGATCGTCCTGTGGAGGAAACCAGCTGCTTCCAGCGTCAGATCCGCCGAGACACACGCCACACACCAAACCCTCGCAGATTCAGATTCAGTTCAAAACTCGGTCTAATGACATCTTTACATGGATGCATCTGGCAGATCATGCTTTTATCCAAAGCGACTTACTTTGCATTTAAGGTTCACATTGATCAGTTCATGCATTCATCAAATTTGAATCAAATTCATGACCTTGGCATTGAGTTACTGTTTGAGATGTAGGGACTATGTTGTATTTCACTCAGTATTTCTAAATTACAGCATCAGTCTCTCATGAGCATGACTGTATTTGTGTTTGATGTGAAACTGAAGGTTAATGTAGAGCGTGTAGTGTTGTGCAAGTAGTGTTGGGTTAATATAAATGAGATACTATTGACATTTTTATTTTTATATTTTCTGTTTTTATTTTAAGTTGTTAAAATTTTAGTAATTTTTGGTTTCTGACATTTGTATTTATTTATTTATTTTTATTTATATTTATATTTATTTATAGTTTTAGTTTTTAATATAATATATAGGCATATTAAAAAATGTATTTATATATATGTATTTTTATATATATATATATATATATATAAGTCTTATTTTGACTTTTTATAGTAAATCAAAATTTTATTTTGGATGCGATTAATCGCGATTAATTGTTTGACAGCACTAATATATATATATATATATATATTAATGTCTATATAGTTTTTATTATTTTGTATTTCAGTTTTAGTTATTTTAGTATATCAAGTTGAACTCAAAAATGAGAACTGTTTCCTTCAGAACTAGTTGAATTAAAATAAGGGTTTTGTTATATTTTATTTTAAGTGACAAATTAGTTTTTACAGTTTTAGTTAACTCTAATTAGCCTGTATTTGACATCATCCCGCTTACAGTATGAGCCTGAGCGACTCAGATCGATGCGCGTGATCGAGTGTTACAGACGACAGCAGCGCTGAGCTCATTAGCAAACAGCCGCGTTTAATCGACATTGATTATCAATAACGAAGCGGTTAATCTCCTGACAGACATCAGTGGTGTCTCGGTGAATGACTGACGGTCGCTGGAAGCAGTTCATGTGTTCAACACACACAATGGTGGCAGAATCGCATCAATGCTGACGTCTGAGCCTCGGTTACAGCGTTTACCGCGGTACTGAACCGAGGCTCACACGTCACATCAGCTTCTTCTCGAAGGCTTTGTTCATGATTGAATATGGGTTGCTCTGAGTTCTGTGTGATTATGCTGTTTGCTTTCTGATGCATGGCTTTTGTATTCACTGCTTTTGCTTTTTTCAGACTTTTGTGGCAAACGCTCTTCCTCACACCGCCAGATATTTCCTTTCTGCTTAACATATTTACAAGCTCATCCATATTCACGCGGGCTCCTCCCCCTCATGAATATTCATGCATGCCCCTCCCTCCTGTGACGGTCAGATGTGCTGTGAACATAATTCACCACTACATCAACAAGAAATAGTCAAGTCTACTGTATTTCTATAGCGCTTTATACAGTACCGATTTCACAGAGATAAACAGGAAAATAACAGATTCAATGATGGAAACTTTATTAAATATGAGAATTTCAGCTGCAGAAGACAGTAGTGTTCAGATCTATGTTGATTCAGATTTGGTTCAATAACTGTAAAATCGATTAAATATGAAACAAATTCAATTTCAGCTGTAAAGCAGCTCTGAAAGACAATAGTTGAATTATTCACAATTCAGTTCAGTTCATCTGTCAAAATGTGCAAAATTCATCATGAAACACAAAAATATTTCGTTTAATGAAGGCGATGTTTTACATTGAGTTCCTCAAATCCAATTATTACTCATTAATCCCAAAATCTCATTACTGTAATGCAAAAATCACAATCTTATTAATTTAATAAGAAAAATAATTTAATATATTATTAAATTAATTAATTTAAATTAAATATATTATTTAAATGGAAAAGTATTTATGTATAATAGTTGTAGTATTTACACTGCTTATAAATATTGTAAATAGACTGTAAAGACTATAATAAATTATTAAATTACATAAATGTATGTGAAAGTATATTTATTACATTACTGTAATGCAAAAATCTAAATCTTATTAATAAGTTATTAATTTAACATATTATTAAATTACATTAATTTAATGAGAAAAATCTATTATTTAAATAGTACAGTATTTATACATGATAGTAGTAGTATTTACACTGCCTATTAATGCTGTAAATAGACTTCATTTTCTTTATCCAAAACATTTTCAATTTTTTTTCTCTTATTTGATTTTGTGTTTTCATGATTTACTGTTGTTTTGGATGAAGATGTCAGGTTGAGCTGGTGTTCACAGTACATTTGAAGCCGTGTGTGTGTGTGTGTGGGAGAGTGTGTGTGTGTGTGTGTGTGAGAGTGTGAGTGTGTGTGTGTGTGTGTGTGAGTGTGAGT